GAAGTGTCCGCACTGCCGAGCGCCGATGAGCGGTTTGATGCGGATTTTTTCTTGATTTTAATACACACCTCCGTTAGTAATGCTGAATGTTACCTCACTCCGCGAGTACTCTACTAGACCAGCTGAGCGCGAGTTTTCGAGCGATATTCGGGCCGTCGCCAATCGAGGAGGACACGATTTTTTGCACATCGATCTCGCTTCGCAGCGCCGCGAGGAGACGGGAGACCTCCTCAACTTGCAATCGATCATCCTCCGTGAGCGCAAGGAGGAGCTGCGTGCGCAACTTGGCGTCCGTGATGAGCAGTCTCGCGCCATCGGTGACAGTGTCAGTGAGATCAAGGTTACCACCGCCGTCGCGCGCGAGATCGATCAAGTTCTCCAGGCGTCGCCACTGGAACTTGTCCTGCTTGAAGAGCACCTGGATCAGGCGCTCGCGCAGAGAGACATCTCTGTCCGTCAGCAAACGCTTGGCGACATACGGGTACGCAACCTCGAGGAACTTGAATTCCGGATTCAGCGTCAGGCAGATACCTTCCTGTGTGAGAAGCGATCTGATGACGAGTGAGAACCGCTCTGGGATGCGAATCGGGTACTGGTACACCAGCTTATTGAAGCTCGACGTCACGGTGCGGAAGTTGAAGTTTGCCAACGACGCCGTTCGTGCGTCTTGCCAGATGTTTTCAAGAGCGGGAACGATGGGTCGGACGTCTGTTCCCGGGGACAAAAACCCGAGACGAATAAAGTCTCCCGCCATCGCATCGTAGTCTTCGTTCACTGCGTGCACCACTGCGTCGATGAGCACCTCCTTGTTCGTTTGCGTCAGCTGCGCGACATTCCCGAAATCCACGTACGCGATTCGTCCATCGCGCATGGCGAAGATATTACCCGGGTGCGGATCGCCGTGGAACAGGCCGAACTCCAATAACTGTCTCAGTCCACTCACGACGCCAACCTTGATGAACTGCTCAACGTCGATGCCCGCGGCAACGATACCGCGTGGGTCGGTACATCGAATGCCGTCGATCCATTCCATCGTGAGCACTTTGGCTCCGGAGAAATCCTTGTAAAACTTGGGAATCTTTACGATGGGGTCATTCTTGAAGTTTTCGTAAAAGTCGCTCAGGTTTCGTCCCTCTTGCACGTAATCGAGCTCTTCCAGGAGTTTTTCGCCGAACTCGTCCACGATGAGCTGCGCGTTACACCCGAGGGCGCGGATGGAGTATCCGTTGACGAAAAACGCCAGGGTCCTGAAGAGTAGCAAATCTCTGAAAATAATCGGCTCGATCCCCGGTCGCTGCACCTTGACCGCGACTTCCTCGCCGCTTTCTCGTAGCGTCGCACGGTATACCTGCCCGAGCGACGCTGCGGCGATTGGATCCTTCGAGATCTTTGAGAACACTGCGTCGATCGGTTGTCCAAGCTCGTTCTCGATTATGGCAAATGCTGTCGCGTTATCGAACGCCGGCACGTCATCCTGAAGCTTGCACAACTCCTCCATGTAATCGCTTCGCACAATGTCCGGACGATTCGCCAACACTTGTCCCGCTTTTACAAAACTCGGCCCCAAATTGGCCAATTGCACCCGCAGTTGCTCGCTTCGACTCACCACCTTTTCCTGCTCGTAAAACGCATCGAGCGCCAGACCGCTCGTGAACGTCGCCGCGTTCATCAAAATCTCTGCGCACCGCAGCGCCGTCTTCGTCGCCTCCAACGGGTCTCGCAGCGCCCGTCGTCGAATCTCTCCCGGAGAATACTTGGGCGCGATCGCGCACGCGCCGCTCTGCATCGCCAGCTCCTCCACGTTCGCCGCGTCGGGCGTCGGCCGCGCCGTCGCGCTCACCCGCGTCGCGCGTCTTCTCGACGAATCACGTTCATCGTTCACTGAAACTCGTCTCAGAGCGGCGGCGCGGCGGCCCGGACGCGCGCGCGACGACGACGACGCCCGCGACGACGACGCGCCGAGTCCGCGGTGTGTCGCCGCGCTCGAGGACGTCGAGGCGTCGATCGAGACGCGCATGTCGACGCGTGCGACGCGCGGACGTGTGCTGGGGCGGGAGATTCGTGACGTCATTCGTGTGGCGTTGGATTTTTTGTCGCCGAGCCGGTGCGGAAACTTCTTCAAAATGAATGAAAGTGGCGCGCGGTGGCGCGAATCGCACCGTGACGAGTGTGAAATGGGCGGGCGTTACACGACGGCGCGCGTGCCGGGCGAGCTAGGGTGGTGGTCATGAGATGGTGTGTTGGGTGGATGGGTCATCGTAGTCGCGAGACGAGAGCGCTCGAGCACCGAGCGCGGACGAACCGTCCCATCCCCCTCGGAGCGGACCGATATCATCGCTCGCGATCGTCGCTTGATTCGCATCTTCACTTGTCATCGATGGGATCGAATCGGAGGTGAGCTGCGTTCGCGGATCTTCAGCTGCGAGATCGTCCGTTGTGGCGGTCCGACGCTCGAGTTGCATGGAGAAGCGCCTCTGCGTCGATTTAGACTCTGTGCCGCTCTCGATGTCAAACTCGAGAGCCTTGGATAACCCCGCGGAGTCGTCCAAATTATGCTCTCGTTTCTCGCGTTCGCTCCTCCTCGTTGCCGGACTGACCGTGCTCGAATGCATATTTTTCGTGAGAGTTCTGAGGAACGCCTCCTTCTTCGCCGACGTGGCACTCGTCCTCTTGAACGCCCCCATCTGGGATCTTTCAATGAACTTGTCCTTCGAAGGGACGACAAAAAGGAGCAAATCGGTCATACTTTCGAATCCACAAATCACATCGTCATCCGTCGCGGGCTTTTCGGTGCCTGAAATAGACCGAGCCGATTGAGTCTCTTGAATAGTAGAGAGAGCCATGAGGTTCGACGATGATCCGCGAACGAGACCATTCTTTCCAAACTTGAGAGCTCCGAGACGCGACTCAAGCTTATGCTCCAACTCGTTCGCGCCCTTCGTCGCACCACGCATATCACATTTTTTGAAAGTCATGACGCAAGGCGCCATGACTTCTCCCACGGACTCGTTGTAGAGCTTCCCCTCGAGTAAGATGACGACCTGACGCTCGTGGTGCTCAAGTTTAGTCCCTTTAGAGACCTTGATGAGCTTACCCGCACGAACAATGCTCGCAGGAGTAACACCCGGAAGGGTATCGTGAAGACCTTTGACGAAGATCGTCTCCGCGAACACGCCTACAACGGTTCGCCACATGTACTCAAGCGTTTCCGACTCACGCAGATCAGCGTGCAGGCTGTCCAACAGAGACTTCGGAACGATGAAACCATACATGTTGGCCTGGGCGACCGCCCGAAGACCACTGCGAAGCGGTTCTTCGCCAACGTGGTGCCAGTTGGCGAGACACTCGTACAGAGCGAGCGCCCATGCGAATGGATGAGATTTACATCCCATCGTTATGCAGTTTTCTGGGTTGTTCGAATCTGACAGACACACAACGCCGTTGCCCACCACCAAGATACCGTCATGCAGCCTTTCACTTGGATCGAGAATAACGTCTCCAGGCTTAAATTCAAGCACATCCGTTTCACGGAGATATTTTTTGCGCAGTTCTCTAGACTTGATGCCCACGCGCTGAGTAAAGTCAAACAATGGCACAGCGGCGAGTATGCGACCAGGAGACGTTCTTGATGGTGGAAGCGGATGCCTGATGATCCGACGGAGGTACGCGTCGTGTTCAGCCTGCAACATGGACCCCTCCGATTCATCCAGCAATCCTGTGTGCGTGAGCAACTTTGTTTCTATCATCGTCACTTCTAGAATTTCTCGCGCGAGCGCTTCAGATCTCAGCGAACGCGCCACGGCGTTGTGCGAGAGTTGCATCTCTTTCAACATCTCTACCGCCTGAGCGACCTCGATGTTCGACTCTTCGAGGACATCTCGCACGTGATTTGACTTGAGCGATGTCTCGTTTGTCAAGTTTGCGTTCGGTTGCTCGATCGCTTTCTTGATGGTGAATTCACGCGCGAGCACAGCGATAGACGGTGTTTCTTGGCTCCCTATCTTCGCCTCTTCAGAAAACGCTTCATCCTCTTTTTTTTGCGCGTTTTCCCCTAGTAACGCCTTGAACTGTTCCGACGTTAATCGGTGGGCGCTGATAATAGCGTGAAGCCCCTGCATTTGTCGCCTGGTAGCCATCCACGCTTGGTCAATCAACTTGAGATATCGCAGTGCGTCCAGAATCTTTTTCCTAAATTTGCTACGATCAAACCACTTCACAACGCGCAGTTTCACGCGATTCATCTTCATGAACTTGTTGAACTCTATAAGATCACATAAGCTCATGCTCGAAGCTTTATCGCGCGCTCGCTCGATCGCGATGAGTAAAGCAGACGCAACCATTGAGTCGATGAGGTCATCCTCGAGCATTTTCCAGATTTCTGTCGTCAGACCGTGGAGAAACCTGCACCGCATCTCCGCCATGAGCTGAGCATCCATCTTTGCTATTTCCATCTTGAACTCGATCTCAGTCTCTTCCCCTATTTGCTGTCGGAGGAAAGGCACGAGCTGCTTCACCGCGGTGAAATCTGGTGCGCCGAGATACTGCGCCCCCGTTTGTTCAAGCTGCTCGTCATAGTGCTGTAACGCGCGTTCATGAATCGCTTTACGCGCAGCCGCGAGCGCCCTATCGTGGCTCAACCCCGGGGTTAGTAATCCGACGAGGCGAAGCATCGTAGCCGACGTTGTTGCGTTGATGAAGAGCGTTCCGCACACCTCGCAGGAAACGAGTGCAAGCGTGAGTCCGCGTTGTCGAGCACTGAAGTGTGTGTCGTCTTCAACCACGACGAGCGCGAGCGCCAATCCGACGGCACCGCGTAGACCAGCCCACACGGCAATTGCCGTCTCTCGGACCGTGAGCTTATGTGCCTTGAACATGTTCATGAACGGATAAAGCATCGCCGTGGTGATGAGACGAACCACGTTGAGGGCCATGTAGAGCAACACGCCCCAGCCCAAGTCTGACCACTTAATTTCGAGCTCACCGACGAGAATGTCTGCGACGATTAAAAATCCCGCCAAAATGAATACGATCGTATTCGCTGCGTAGGTGAGCATCTCCCAGAAATGGTGCATCGAGTGCTGGACGTGTCCCTTAAAGTGCGTCCGACCCTTGGCGCTCACGACCCAACCCAAGACGACGACGGCGAGCACACCGCTGCATTTGATGACATTCTCAGCGAGCATGAAAGAAATGTATCCGGCGAAAAGTGTGATGGTTATGTCAACTAGGTGATCTTGGCGCGAGTTTTTAAGCCAGAACAAGCACGCGTATCCGATTCCGCCACCGAGTAACGCGGAGATTATCGGCTGCGTGATTAAATCTTTCATGACGTCTCCAAACGTTTTCTCTTCTCCCCTGGCGATGGCGAGGAAGACGTTGAAGACGACGATTGCAGTACCGTCATTCACCAAAGACTCGCCCTCGATCAGGTGTCCCAGAACCTTACTCGCGCCGACTTCCTTAAGAATAGCGACGACGGCGACTGGATCCGTCGCGGACAGAATAGAACCGAGCATCATACAGAATCCCCAACTTAACCCGAACGGCATCGCTCGTATCAAACATCCCGTGAGAGCCATCGATATCAATACCCCGGGTCCCGCGAGCAGTAGAACTTTCGGAAGAACCTTCTTCAGCGTGTGCCACTCCATTGAAAACGATGACTCAAAGATGAGCGCCGGCAAGAACACCGCCAACAACAGATGCGGATTGATTCCCTTCCACGCCGCCAAAGACGTGTCCAACAACCCGATGTCAGTTTTGTCGTAAATCACCGCCCAGAGCATCCCGATCATGAACAGAACCACCGTGTACGGAATCGACGTGCCATGCAGCGCCGTGCGCGTCGCGCTTCCCACCGCCAGGGCGACGAAGACAAACCACAGCGCCACCGTGCCATCTTCGTGTTCCGCGTGCGCCACCGGCGCCGAAGCAGGCGCGGCGTCGAGAAGCTCCCTACCAATGATCCCACCGACGTCGCCCGACATCTTCTTTCGTCACGACGCGCGCGTCGACCGCGCACGAGGCGTTGACGCTCGCGAAACGCGTCGAGACGACAGCCGCCGAGCGTCGACGCGGTGCGCGACGCGGTGCGATCGCGCTCGGCGTCGAGTCGAAGGACGCGCACGCGGGCGCGGTTCTCGAGCGCGCGCGCGCGCCTCGCGCGGGCGCGTGCGGGGGTGAGGACGCGGCGGCAGGTGGTTGGTTGGTTGGACGACGATACACGCGGGTGTGGACCTAGAAATTGTTGTTCATTCGGACTGTCGCGTTCGCCACGAGAATGCTAGTTGAGACCGACGCCGGCGCGGGCACAGTATTCCGATAACGCCTGCTGGGCCTCCACGGGAACGGTGGCGATGATGGCGGCGATGGGACGCTGCGCGGAGAAGGTGGCGAGCGTCTTGGCGACGTGGAGGCGGACGTCCGGAACGTCCGGGACGGGATCCGTCTCCTTGAGAGCGGCTTGGGTGAGCTTGGAGTACGACGCGGCGTATCCAGCGTTGACCTCCATCTCTTCAAGCAAAGCGTCGTCATTCGCGGCGTCGTTCTCTACGTCGTCGGGCTTCAAGCACTGGGCAAGGATACCGGCGACGAGTTTGGCGAACGCACCCGGACGGTCGATGGTCGCCGGGAGCTCCGTCGCAAACTTCAGCGCGGCGACGCACGTGAGCTTGCGCTCGAGCTTACCCGTGACACCAGCGATCTCGGCTGCGACGACGTTGTCCAGAATCATGTCAAAGATGCCCGGTTGGACCTTATTCACGCTGTCAGACACGCTCGCGGGACCGTGCTTGACGCATAGCGCCGACGTAAAGACGACCAAGCATCTGCTAAACTTGGGCGTGCGGCTAGTTTGTTGGCGCTGAAATAATATGCTCCAAATCGTGGGGAGAAATTGTCCCCACGCCTCGAGCGCGAGCGACTCCACGAAGGAGTTCAAGATGTAGAAGCCCTGATGATCCTGCGCTTTGTTCGACACGAGCTTCTGGAATACCCCGAGGACGCCCTGAAGGTGTCCGCCGGCGACGATGGCCTGTGGAGTCTTCGTCAGGTATGCTTTTAGCAATCTCACGAGCGGTGTGACGTTCGCTCTTCGATCCCACATGAGGGGCGTCAACAAAGCGGGGAAGATGGCCATGTAAGAATCCGGCATCGTCACACCCGGCGGATAACTCTCTATCATCTGCGCCAGGAGTTGGAACACGTACGGAGTGAACTCGACGACGTCCGCTGTCAATACGTGCTGAAACGCCGGGAATAGGAGCTGCTCGAACTGCACCATTAGAGCGGCGTCGCCGCTGACGTTTTTCACCAGTGAAGCCACCGACTCAAACAAGTAGTGAGCAAACGTCGGGTTTCTAGGATTCTTGCACAACTCGAGGAGCATGGTGCTTAACTGCTGCAAGCAAATCGTCGCCACCGGCTTGACATCCGCGCCGCTGAAAGCAATGATGCGCATCACGCACTTCATGACATACTCGTTTTCGGCGCTATCGGGAACGTTGAACGCCTGGAACATGTTCGTGTACAGTTGTTGAATGAACGGAGCCAGATCCGCCGAAGTGTACCGGAACGCGCCCGGTCCGTCTCGAACTGTGAGCAAGCGCTCAACACAGTTCGCCGCGTACGAGTGCACGACATTTTCTTCGACCGCGAGCAATTGCACGAGCGATGGTAACAGTGGCGCTACCAGCGACTTCGGGAGCTGTTGTCGGAACATTGTCAAAAACTTGAGCGCATCCGCTCGAACGACGGGGTGCGAACCACCCTTCGCCGCCGCGAGCTCCGGTGCAATGTGTTGGTTGAAAAAGTCCACGATGTTAACCAGGTCGTTCGTCTCGGTCGCCCCCTTGACGAGAGACTTTGCGCGAATGGTGAGCGCCATGACCAAATAAATTGCGGCATCCTTTGCCTTCCAAAACTTATTCGGATCCGTGACGTACTGCCCGAGGAGAGACGTGACGTACCCAGTGATGGCACCCGTGACGTGCTGAGGAAACTTCGCCGTGAGTGCCTTGACTAACTCGCAAGAGCCTCGGCGACGGGTATCGGCATCGCTCCCTTCAAGGTCCCTACGAATGTACTCCACGTAGTTATCGTTGAAAAGCTCCTCATCGTCGTCCCTGAACTGCAGATTTGGAATAATGATGTTTTCGCAAATCTGTCGCAGCGTGTCCGGGGACTCGAACAGCTTGTGATGCACGCTACTCGCTACGGCGGTGAGAAACTTCACCCCGGACGTGACTAAGTGGTCACGGTTCGTCGCCTGGTCCGTCGCCATGAGAAGCGTCCAAACGTCCTGAACGAAAGTTTGCAGGTAAGGCGCAAACTCTTCTTCACTTTTTTCGATGTAGAGATTGATGTTATCGCAGACCGCAGCCTTGACTTCATCGGCCTCGCTCGCCTTTTCGGCGTCCTTGCTCGCGAGCTCCGCCGGCGCAACGTACACCAACAACTTGTGGAACGTTCCCATCCACTCCGCCATCGCATCTTCGAAGACTTCGGGCAACTCCTGGCTATTCAAACTATAGAAGATCCGGCAGATCAACCGCATGCACTGCAACAACTGACGAGTGTGCTCCACGTTCCCGTGCACCCCCGCCTCGAGCGCCGCGCTCACCTCCAACGTCAGTTCGAGGAGCGGTTTAGTGAACGTATCAAGCACGTACTTGAGCTCCCTGTATAGCTCCTGCGACTTCACCGCCCCACGGTACCGCTTGAATATCGCGTTCGCCGTCGTGAGCACGCCCGCCGCCTCGGCGTAGTTCCTCGCCCCTGGCGTCCCCAGCCTCTGCACCAACTCCGGCAACAATCCCTCCCATCGCTCCGGAAAATCGCACGCACACACTAAACTCAACGCCTCACTCAATTGCGCCGCCACCAATCGCGGCGCGCGCAGCATCAACCCCACGACGCTCTCTCGCACTCTGCGCTTCTCCTCCGCGCTCGTCTCTCGCTCCCCCACCGCGCCCACTTCCTCGGGTTCGATCGGGTCCCAGTGTCTCTTCACCGCGTTCTTAAACGCCACCGCCGCGGCCTGCCGCGTGGCATCGTCCAGACCATCGCGCACGGCGAGCTCGAGGGCGATGAGGGAGAAACCATCCGCGCGCGATCTGGTGGCGAGAAACTCCTCGGCGCGCGCGCGCTGGGACGCGTCTTGGGCGTAGGACGCGCGCAGGGCGTCGATGACAGCCTGTACGTCGTCGGACATCCGAGCGAGGTCGATCGAGGCTCGGACGCGGAAGACAGGACGCGGTGTGGGGGGAGGTTTGGGACGCGCGCCGAGGCGAGCGCGCCGAGGCGAGAGGCCGAAGATGAAGACGCGCGGCGCGCACGACGATCGCTTAATGGTAAAATCGAATGAGTGATACTGACAAAAATATAGTGGAATGATGAAGAATTGTGACTGGGCGAGCGAAGAGGGTGAGGTTAGCTCGGACCCATGGAGATCGGGACGCCTTGCGCTTTTTCCTTGGAACCAAACTTTTCCTTGATACCGTTGGCGACGTCGCCAGGAGAACCCGGGATGTCCTTGTAATTCCCCATGAAACGACTACGAAGCTCACGGAACATCGCATCGGCCTTGTTACCGCTCGTGGCGATGCCGTCTTTGGTTCGGCTGACGCCGTCGAGGAGGTCGTCGATTGAGACGAACTGGCGCTCGTCGCGCACACTCAGAAGAGCGGCTTCGTTGCACACGTTCGCGAGCTCGGCGCCGGTGAAACCCGGCGTGGCTCGAGAGATGACGTCGCACACGACGTCGACGTCTTCCTCGAGATCAAGCCCACGCAGATGCACGCCAAGGATCTGCGCGCGGCCTTGTTGAGACGGCGGGCCGACGAAGACTCTGCGCGTGAGACGACCGGGGCGCAATAACGCCGGGTCTAGCGCGTCCGGTCGGTTCGTCGCCGCCAGAATCAAAATCGATTGGTCTTTTGAGAATCCATCCATCTCGACCAAAAGCTGATTGAGCGTTTGATCTCTCTCTTCGTTGAGTCCGGCGCCCCGACGAGAACCGACAGCGTCGAGTTCATCGATGAAAATAATCGCGGGTTGAGACTTTCGAGCCTCAGCGAAGAGCTCGCGTACGCGCGCGGCGCCTCGACCGACAAACAATTCAACAAACTCCGACGCGGCGACCGGGAAGAATGAGACACCGGATTCGCCCGCCACCGCACGAGCGAGGAGGGTCTTACCCGTACCCGGCGGGCCAACCAACAGGCAACCGCTGGGAAGTCTGCCTCGAACGTTCTTGTACTTGTCAGAGTTCTTCATGATTTGCACCAACTCGAAAAGCTCTGCCTTGGCGTCTTCGACGCCCGCTACATCCCTGAAAGTCACCTTGTTCTGCTCGTTGATGTCGGCAGCCTTTTTGCGCTTCTTCCCGCCGCCTCCTTGCTGTCGGTTGATGGCGTTTCTCATGATGATGATTAACGGAATGATGGGCAACCACATCGCGAGGACTGTGAACATACCACGAGACGCCATGCGGGACACCGCCGCCGGCACCGCACCGAACTCAACGCCCGCCTTTTCGAGCTTCTTCATCAGCTCGAGATCACCCATGAGCCGCTTCGTCTGAAACGTCGTGCGCACCCGTCCCGCGGTCGCCGACGCCGACGCTGACTTCGCGGACACATCCTTCAAATCATACACCAAGCGCGTCGAGCCTTCCTCGAATCGCACGCTCGAAATCCTCCCAGCCTTTAAGTCCTTGAGAAAGGCGGAGTACATAGCCGTCGGCGGAGCCGCCTTCACCGCCGCCATCTTCCTCGCGCTCACGCCCCGCAAAGCACCAAACGCACCGAGTGCGAGACCGATCATCATCCCGATTCTCCCGAACCGATTACGCGCGATCCCTCCGACGACGCGTAACGCGCCGCTGAAGCACACCACCAAAACCACCGCGAAGAGCCGTCGAACGACAACCCCGAGCAACATCGTCCGCGTCACCACCCACCGCATCACCGAGAACGGCTTACGTTCGATCGGTTCCATCGAATCATCCGAATTTCCATCCGCATCGTTCGCTCCCGAGACCGCCCACCTCTTCCGCGTCGCCGCCGTCCGCGCCGTCCCCGCTCCGCGTCGCCGCCTCGTCCGCCCTCTCCGTCCCCGCCCCACGCGCCGCGTCGACGATCGCCCGCGTCACCACCGACGCGCCGAGCTCCCTCCCCCCCGCGCGCGGTCGCCACGCCCCCCCCGCGTCGCCCGTCGACGTCCGCGCGCGTCGTTCCGCCGGTCTCGTCGACGTCGACATTCGTCCGCCGCGCGCACCGATCCCACGTCGCGTCGCCGTCGCGGGCGTCCACGACGCCGCGCGCGGCGTCGCGAGACGCGGCATCCGAACGTCGCGTTCGCGCTCGGCGCGCGCGCGGTGTCCCGCCGCGCCGTCGCGGGCGTCCGCCGTCGACGCGACGGGACACAAAACCCGTCAGCGTGCGCACACTGTGCGCAAAACCCGTCAGCGTGTGCACACGACGAGCAAAACCCGTCAGCGTGCGCACACTGTGCGCAAAACCCGTCAGCGTGTGCACACTGTGCGCAAAACCCGTCAGCGTGTGCACACTGTGCGCAAAACCCGTCAGCGTGTGCACACTGTGCGCACGACCCGTCAGACGACCGACGTCGAATCGGCGCTCGACGCGCGCGTCGGTCGCCCACGCGACGTCGCCCGACCGCGCCCGCGAGCGACGACGGGGTCGGACGCGCGACGACGTCTCGGTCCGTCGCGACGAGGCGTCGATGATGACGGGCGCGAATGATCCGACGGGGACGGCGGCGACGCGCGCGCCGGCGGCGGTGCTGGATGACGTTCGACGGGACGTCGTGGGACACGGAAGCGCGTGCGGTGGGCCGTACGGGATGAAGACGATGGTGTACGCGGATTGGACGGCGTCGGGACGGGCGTCGAGGGCGATTGAACGAGAGGTGGCGATGCGAGTGCTGCCGACGTACGCGAACACGCACACGACGACGTCGACGACGGGGGCGCAGTCGACGTGCTACAGGCAAGAGGCGAGGCAGGTGGTGGCGCAGTGCGTGAACGCGCGAGTTGGGTACAGTGATAAGCACGCGGACGTGGTGATGTTCGCTGGGAGCGGAAGCACAAGCGCGATAGACCGCCTGGCGAGAGCGCTCGGGGCGCACGTGCCGCTGCCGGCGAACGCGCCGAGACGGGCGAGGCCGGTCGTTTTCGTCGGACCGCACGAGCATCACAGTAATATATTGCCATGGAGAGAGAGTTGTGCGATCGTGGTGGAGATTCCCGAGGATTCGTCGACGGGGATGGTGGACGTGGACGCCCTGCGCGCGGCGCTGCGCGAATACTCGTCGCACGCGACACTCATAGGAAGTTTCAGCGCGGCGAGCAACGTCACGGGCGTTCGTGCGGACGTGAACTTGATCACGGAAACACTTCATCGCGGTGGGGCGCTAGCGTTTTGGGATTACGCCGCCGCGGCGGCGTATGTGGACGTCGACATGAATCCGGTGGTGTTCGACGAGAGCACGGGCGAGCTCAATCCGTACGTGTACAAGGACGCAATCTTCATCTCTCCGCATAAACTTCCGGGAGGACCGGGCTCGCCGGGTGTACTAGTCGCCAAGCGCGCACTGTTTTCGAACGAGGTCCCGAGCGAGCCGGGCGGAGGCACGGTGTTCTACGTCACGAGCGAAGACCATCGATACTTGAGCAATCGCGTCGAACGCGAAGAGGGAGGGACACAGGACATCATAGGAAGCATCCGCGCCGGGCTCGCGTTTCAGCTCAAATCCACGGTTGGTACGTCTGTCATAGAGGCCGCTGAGGATCGCCTGCAGCGTCGTTTATTCGCAGATCTCTCTCGAGAGGAGAACATTTGTCTGCTCGGACCAGAGGTGAGCGAGAAGACAAAACGTCTGCCCATATTTTCGTTTCTCGTTCGCGCCCCAGCGGTGGCCTCGACGAGTCGCTTTCTTCATTACTCGTTCACGTGCGCGGTGTTGAACGATGTATTTGGCGTGCAATCACGCGGTGGTTGCGCGTGCGCGGGTCCGTACGCGCACAAGTTGCTGGGATTATCTCCGGCGCACGCGGCGGCGATCGAAGCACATTTGCTGGATAAAGCCGAAGTTCTTCGTCCCGGGTTCGTTCGAGTGAGTCTGCCGTATTTTGCGTCCGACGCAGAGATCGAGTACACGTTGGCCGCCGTGCGCGCCGTCGCGAGGCACGGATGGCGTCTGCTACCGATGTACCGAATGGATGCCAAGACCGGTGAGTGGCGTCACGTGTCGCGAGCGCGCAGTTTTCCAGATAGAAAATGGCTCGCGCACATGCGTTTTCCGGTAGATACTGTCGACGGGGGCGATATAACCGAGCCTCCGAGCGAAGAGGAAATCGCTCATCGCCTCACCGATCAATTGCGCGTAGGGATGCGAATCCTTGAGACGTGCGGTCAATACCGAGAGGGAGAGGAACCATCGAAGACGAAGAACGGTCAACTACGCTTGCCTAACACGGGGGGCTTAGCCGTGGACGAGCGTATGGTACTCGCAGGTGGACGAGACGACGATGACGCGAGGTTGGCGTACGTGGGACATGAAGATGAAGGCACGCGCTCCGATGCAGCCACCAATGTTGAACGAGGCGATGCACTTCGCTGGTTCATGTTCCCGTCCGAGGCCGCGATGCTGCTCTCGAGCATCCTTCCAGCACATTCAGCAAATGGGATTTTGTCGCTTGAATTCGTGCCACCGGTTGGACCGATCACCGGCGCTTTGAGACCGCCAAACATGTGTTATGAGCGTGACAGTGCATACACATCCTATGGACAAAGTTATCGCACTGAGAGTCGAAAGCACCCGTTGCGCGTGACGGAAAAGATTGGAAACGTCCGTTCGGGTTTGATTCAACAGCGTGCCGCACCGCTATGTATCGACGGCGGATCGGCGCACGAATCGCCAACGAAGTCGGAAGACGCAAAGTTTGGTGCGTCCCCATCTGAAACGATGGAAGCCGTCGATCAAGTTCGTGAAATCACGGTCGAGATTCCCGAAAATGTCGACATTCTCGTGCGAGAAATATCAGACGTCAGTTTCAAACCGGATATCGTTGAGAAGTCAACGAAGAAGGATAAGAAGACGAACAAGTTCGTAAAACCGCCACCAAAATTGATGCGTCACGTCAACGAAGCCATTCAAGACTTCGAAATGATTCAGCCCGGTGATCGCGTCTTACTCGGCCTTTCCGGAGGTAAAGATTCGCTTGCGATGCTGCATATTCTCATGTCTATCAAGCAACGACTTCCTCCTGGGACGTTCACCCTCGCTTGCGCCACCGTGGATCCTGGAACTGAGGCGTTTAATCCACGCCCTTTGATTCCCTATGTGGAGTCCTTAGGTATCGAGTATCACTACCTGGAGGAAGAGATCATGGCCATGGCCGAGGCTCACATGAACGGCGATAGTATTTGTGCGTTTTGTGCAAGAATGAAGCGCGGCGCTCTCTACTCGTGCTGCCGCAAATACGGGTACAACAAACTTGTCCTCGCGCAGCACTTGGACGATTGCGTGGAGAGTTTCTTGATGAGCACGATGTACAATGGCGTGATGCGAACGATGAAGGCGTCTTACTTGATAGACGAGGGCGATATCATCGTCATCCGACCGGCCATTTATCTCCGAGAGAAGGCACTGCGTGATTTTTCATACGAAGCCGGACTTCCGGTGATAAATGAAAATTGCCCTGCGTGTTTCGAAGCACCAAAAGAAAGGAATCACATCAAGAAGCTTTTAGCCCGCGAAGAGAGTGTTTTTCCGTCGCTATACTCGTGCATGAAGAACGCACTTACCCCACTGTTCGATCCGTCTGCGCAAGACTTGCTTTCGATGATACGAGAGGCCATTGAGGCGAGAAATGCAAACAAGCAGCGCGCAAAAAGTCAACGAGAAAAGTCTCTCGCTGCTGGCTCGTGCCAACTGAAAAGAACGGGACGTACGGTGGGCGCTGTTTCAAACGATGGTGCGTTCGACGAGGCTAACACCGCGGCGGCAGCGGCCACAACGTTTTTAAACGATGCGACAGAGGAGGAGCTTCTTGCAGAATTGAATAAACGTAGACGCGAACGCATGCGGCGCGTGTGTACGAAAACCATGCCAGACACCGAGCTAGACGCGGATCTGACAGAAAAGCAAATGTTTTGCACCGCCGATGGGTGTAAACGGGAACCATAGATTTTTTAGACTATTTTAGGCAACAGTATTTCAATACGGATTAATTGGCCTAGCGGCGCGCGTTCATTCAATGTCGATAGTCTCGTATCCTTGCGAAAGATCGACGTCATCGTTCGCCACAGGCTTGTCGTCACCAGCGCTGGGATGAGTCATCGCCGCCTCTTCTTTCTTCTTACGTTCTACCGTCTTCGCACATGAATCAGCGTACATCACGTACCCCTTACACTCACTCACTCGCGGCAAGCTCTCAATCATCAGACGTACATGGGGCAAGCTGTAGCCAAAGAACTCGGGCCCAGAGATGGCTGTCTTCTTTGGAACCTCACCCCGCGCCTCCCGCGCTGCTTTTGCTCGCTTGAGAACCTCGGCCCAGGCCGCGGTGGCACTCTTTGCGACGATGGGTTCACATCCTTCCTCAGCCGTGAGAGTGAACTGCGGCTCTCCCTTTGGGCCTTTGGTGATCTTTTGTTCCCAACGCGTGCGCTCATCCAAATTGTCTAGACGAGGATACATTCGCGAGGACTTGAATCCTACTGGTAAAATGTACTGTTGCGATACGAAATCATTCTTGTTGTGAACCGCCCCCAAACACTCGATGGTAACACCGCTGATCGGCCCGACAGGCATGGCGAGTTGGCCACACGCGTCTCGCTTGAGTTCCTTCAAAAACTCTTGTGCCTTTTCCAATTTTTCTATCGTTGCGCCCGAGCCACTTCTCGGCGCACCCTTCGGTTTCTTTTCCCGAGGAAATTTTGCAGTCTTGGACTTCCGTGCAGTTCGCTCAATCTTTGGCGGAGGTTCGAAGGATGTACCGCCAAGAGCGCTGAAAATGCGCTTCGTGCGCATGCTGAGGAGTCTACCATGAATCCATTCGATTGGCTTCTCGGCGTCAACCGTGTCCACAGCTACGACATCGAATTCCTTCTTTTTATCCTTCTTCACCGGCTCTGGCGCGTTCTTCCCAGCGAAGGTTTCGGCAAATGGCAAATTTGGGTCGTCTCGGATTTCCGCGTACTTGCCAAAACCATGCTTCAGCGTGCCGACGACGAGCGCTCGATCGTGATCTTCCGTCCACCAGCTCGCCACAGGATCAGCGAAAAGCTCTGGGATAGGCATACCCTCAGCTGTGAGGGCGTTTTCGAAGCTTCCGGCTTTCGTAACCGCTTTGATACCTCCCTGCAACAGCTCGAGTCTAGCCAGGTCGTCGCTCGCTCGCCCACGCACAAAATTGTTAAATCCTTGTTCAGCCATGATGTATTTAAGATACTCTCGACCCTCCGAATCTGGGAGCGAATTTTCGTCTTCGTCCTCTTCCGTTGTCAATACTTCGATAATATTCGGCACTAGATCGCTCGGCACCGTTTTCAGAGCATCCTCGACGTAGCACCTACAAAACATTTTCACGTGCGCAATCGTCTTGTCGTCCTTGAGTTGCGAACGTGCCCTGATGGGCTCCCACATGCCCCAGCCAAACAACATAAAAGAAGCAACGACTCGCTTGCGCTCGCCCCAAGACCAGTGAAACGCGTTGACCGCGTTCTTTTTCTCCTCGGCTAACTTTTCAGCAGCTCGCATTTTTGCCAGGAGCTCCTCAGCCTCGGCTTTGCGCTCTTCTTCCGCCGCAGCCGCCTCAGGCATGAGCTTTTGCCAGAAGTTGGGATCATCGAGAGAAACACCGTCTGCTCTCATCCCAGAGTCCACAAAGGTCGCAGTTGCGAACGTGCTTGGACCAACTTCGTTGGTCTCCTCTGCGCCCTTAATCAGCTTCTGCTCAGATCTGGCGAGGATGTCAACAATGCTATCATCGCTCCATTGTTGCGCTCGGACCTCATCTTCGGCAAAAATTCCGTACGCTCCGTGCTTGAGTAAAGCTTCGATCTCTTTTCTCGATTGTGCCGTGGTCTTTTCCTCTTTATCGGCGCCCCCAAAGATCGCCTGCTCGAGACCGAGCTTCATTGAGGCTCTCGTAAACATTTCCTTCTCGTACGAGCCGCGCATCACCAATCGATAGACTTGCACCTGTCGCGTTTGTCCGATTCGATGCGCTCGCGCGAGCGCTTGCGCATCGTTTTGCGGATTCCAATCACTATCAAACATGATGACCGTGTCTGCTTGCACCAGGTTAATGCCCTGACCGCCGGCACGCGTGGAGAGGAGAAACAGAAAAGTGTCCGAATCTTCAGCGCAATAGTGATCGATCGCCTCCTGTCGCGCGCTACCGGTGACACTCCCATCGAGTCGTACGTAAGAATGACCGCGGGCGCGGCAGTAGTCTTCCAAAACGTCAAGGACGCGCGTCATCTGGCTGAACACAAGAGCCCGATGTCCGCCTTCCCTGAGGTGCGGAAGCAACTTGTCCAGAAGCTGTAGCTTACCGGAGCTCGATACCAAGATGTTAGTGCTCGCGCCCTCTGGCGCGACAGCGGCTTCGACTCCATCGAGTAAGAAAGGGTGCTGACAGCATTTTCTGACTTCCATCATGATGTTTGCGAAGTTTGCAAAGTTCTCCTTGGATTCGCAACCTTGACGAAGGAAAGAAAAGTTACGCTCAAACAACGCTCTGTAACACTTCTTTTGAAGCGGCGCAAGTTCACATTCGACGAGGGTCTCGCTCCGCGGTGGTAACTTTTGTTCCACGTCGCTCTTCAATCGTCGAAGCAAGTAAGGGCCGAGAACTTGCTGCAGACGCTCGACTTGTGACGCCTTGACCATGCCGCCAAACGCCGCCTCAAAATCCTCCGCATCCGAGAAGTGCTTCGAATCCACAAAGTTAAGAAGCGACCAAAGCTCGGCAGTGTTGTTCTGGAGCGGAGTGCCAGTAAGTAAGCAGATGCGCTCGACGGAAAGCGTGCCCAAATCGTTCCCAAGTTTACCGCCGATGCGTTTGAGACGGTGCGCCTCATCGACTACCATCGTGCACCACTTCACTTTCGCGAACGATTGTCGATCGGCAGTCACAGTTTCGTACGTCGTCAGGACGATATCAGCTTTCATACTTCGCAATGACCCATCGGCACCTTCTACTGGAGCGTGATACCAGTCGTGTTCTCGCGCAAAATCTCGGCCAGCTTGCTTTCCGATGTGCGTCACCAAGTACGCATCAGGCACCCAGCGCTTCGCCTCGCGTTCCCAATTCACGACCGTCGACAGCGGTACGACGATAAGAGCAGGCAGACCTGGTCGAACCTTCAAGCAGTGATGAATAAGGGCGAGCGACTGCGCGGTCTTTCCCAGACCCATCTCGTCCGCCAAAATACACCCGCGACCAGCGCGAAAGTTGAACGACATCCACTTCACCCCCTCCTTCTGGTACGACCTGAGTTCGCTGGATTCGCCGTACGATTCGCACACTGCGTCATCATCGTACGAACTCCATGCGTTGTTGACATCGTTTGCCGTCTCACGTTCGATGATGGCTTGACGCGCGAAAGCACTCGTTGCCCGAGAGTGCACACGCTCGAACCGCTCTATCGCCGCGCTACCGCCCTCGAAGAGGTCTCGCACCGCGCTCTGTTCCTCCCACGTCGTCTCATCGTATCCTAATCGCTGCCACTTGACGCACATCAACGTCTTATCGACGCCCTCAAACTTTGAGAAGACGCGTTCAACAACCAAGTACTCTGGCCGCACGTCCACCCTTGGTCCGAGCTCTATTGGGTGCTTATCGAAGTACCGCGTCACTCGCATCTTCCCATGCGTCCCCGAGGCGACATCTCGCTCGATCGCGGACGTCTTTGCCCAAGTGCAGTTTGCATACGACGTCCCTCGCCACTTTAATAGTAGCTCCGTCTCGCCGGCTGAACCGTTTCGCCATCCGCAGATGCGTTCGACGTCCGCGAACCGCGTCGAATCGTCGCTCTCTCGCCCCCACTGCTCGCTCGGCCACTCGTGTCTACTCCTGATCGATCGTTCCTCGCTTCTCGTCGCCGCGTTATCGTTCGACGCGCTCCCATCGCTCTCCGTCCCCGGCCGCTCCGCGTCCGCTCTCCGCTCCGCCAAGACGTCGCCCCAGTACTCCCGCTCCGTCGCCGGGGCCTCAGCCTTCCTCCGTCGCTTCTCCGTCGACGAGGGTCGTATTTCCAACAAATCCTGCGCCGCCAGGTCGACGTTCCCGCGTCGTCGTTCGAGTACCTCCGCGATGACGTTGGCGTCGAGCTCGGCGAACGCGCTCTCGAGCGAGCGCTGTTCGACGCGGTACACCGCTCGCGCGTTTCGAGTGCGCGACGTGGGTGACATCGGCGCGTGACCTCTCTCTCGATGCGCGCTCGCGGTGTGATGCGTCGGCGCTCGAGGGGCGGGAAGTGGCGTGCGGGGGCGGGCGATCGGAAGAGCCGGCGCGAGCTGTCGAAAAAATTTAAAATTTCACATCCATCGAGCGGAGCGCGCGGGACCGCTTCAAGAGCTGCGGTCGATCAAGCGCGGGTGAGACGGCGAGCGAATCGAAGCTAAACGATATGAACGAATAAATGTGCCGTGTATATTGATCACGTTTGGGATTTCGAGGCGGCGATCACTTCCTTGATGACGCGTTGGACGTCGGCGGGAGCGAGACTCTTGGCTTTGCGGAAGCTATTCTCAGCGGCGTCGGGTTTTCCAACCTGGCGGTAGAAGACACCTTGAGCCAGATGTGCGCGGAAATCGTCAGGGTGCGCGTCGACAACCTCTTGGAAGGCTTGATCAGCCTCCTTGCCGTGGCCCTTCCACGCGGAGTACACTCTCGCTTGGAGGAGTTGAGAATCGACATCGTCAACCCAACCCTTCTTTGAGAATGTCTTGGCGTACTCGAGAGCGAGACCGTTTCTCCCGGCTTTACCAAGGGCATCGAGGTAACCGCGTAAGAATGAGCTAGACGGCGCGCTGCTCGGTCCTTTACCCAAGACCTCGGCGTCGATGATGCCACGGTACGCCTCGACCGCTCGACTCGGTTGGCCATCGGCGATCCAAGTCTCCGCCAACGCGCTCACGTTCTCCTCGTTCGACGGGTCGATCGCGACGAGTCGCTCGAGGAAAGGAAGTGCCTTGGGATAATCGTCCAAAGCGAGCCAAGACTGCGCGGCTTGGCGCAACTTGTCTGCATCTTCTGGCGCTGCGGTGAGCGCCTCTTCCACCGCCTCTGCCTGTTTCCTCACCTCTTCCTTCACACTATCGCTCAGCCCACCTTTTTGCGTTCCCGCTGGGGCGTTGAACGTTAAATCTGACGGAATGAAGACCACCACGAGCGCGCACGCCGCTAAGAAGCTCACCACGCGCACGAGCGTCTGGTTTCCATCCTCCTCGTCCTCCTTTGCCACCGGCGCTCGCTCGTCCGCCAACCGGTTCGCCATCGGCCCTCTCGGCGTCGCCTTCGCTCCACCAAAATCCACTTTGGCGTTCATATCGAACGACGCCCCGCCGACGCCCTCGTCGAACGTCCCGCTCGCGTCTCGCTTTTTCGCCTTCAGCTCCGCCAACTTGGCCTCAAACTCCCCCGCGTTCGCCCCCACGAACGCCCCCGCGCGCTCATCTTCAACCGGTGCCTCCCTCGCGCGCACTCTGCGCGCGACGTCGGCGAACTCGCGCTCGCGTCGTCCCTCGTCCTCGACGAATTCCTGCCTCTGCGGCTTCTTCGCCCGCCTCCCGCCGGTATTTTGCTTCTTCCGATTCCCTCGCCCCGGCTCGGGCGTCGCGCGCGGCGCCACGCGCGCCCCGCGACTCGGCACCGCGGACGTCCACGGCGCGAGCGCCATCGTCGAGCGCGGCGCGGCGCACTGCGGCCGTCCGCGCATCCGTGCCGTCGTCCCCTCGACGCGTGCCACACGACGTATACCCTAAACCCTAAAATGTATGCGACGTATGGATATGGTCTACACATCCATACTCTACGGATGCGTACACCCATACGGGATGCGCCCCGTTGGACGCGCGGACGCCCGTTCGAAAAAACGATTCTCGACGCCCCGCGCGCGCGATTCGGCGCCATCGCGCGCCGCGCGTGCGTCGGCGCTCGAGCGGACGAAGCGAACACTCATGGCGACGAAATTCGCCTTCAAGACGGAGCACGCGTTCGGTGCGTCACGACCGACGGGACGCGATGGGACGGACGCGACGGCGACGGATGGTCGAGAGACGGGAACGGTGCCGAGGTCGACGCGCGCGCGCGCGAGGGCGTCGGGCGCGCGCGATGTCGGTGAGGCGGTTGACAAATATTTTGTCCAGCGCTCGCGCGCGTCGGCGGCGGTCGCGCGCTGTCGGGGCGCGTGGACGGGCGAGATGAGCCTCGTCTCGACCGTTGCGACCGAAGTGGGTGACTTGGATTATTCCCTCGGAAGACTGTGAGACTCGACGACTGACGGTTGTGTTTTGATGCGATTCGAACCGACGCAGACAAACGATCGAGCGAGAGCGCGCGCATTCGCACGAAATACGGCGATCGCGTGCCCGTGATCGTGGAGCGCGCGGAGAAGAGCGACATCCCGGCGCTCGATAAGAAGAAGTACCTCGTCCCGGCGGATCTCACCGTCGGTCAGTTCGTGTACGTGATTCGAAAACGAATCAAACTGAGCGCCGAGAAGGCGATTTTCATCTTCGTGAATAACGTTTTGCCGCCCACGGGAACGCTAATGTCGGCAATTTACGAGGAGCACAAGGATGAAGACGGGTTCCTGTACATCACGTACTCGGGCGAGAACACGTTTGGGTTCAACAAGGATACGGAATGAGTGAAGGAGTGTCAATCGGCGAAAACATTACCGGTAGGAAACAAGTGAACGACCTTGAGGCGAACGAGTCGAGCACGAAGAGATCGAGACGGATCGGTATCCGTTTCGATCAAACAGAGCCCTCGGCGACGAACACTTCTTGTTGCGTCCTCGATCCACAGCTCGCGCGTCGCTCCTGTACCAATATTACGTGTGCCCTGTAGTCTGTAATACCGCCATCGAGCATTTTTTACGAGTAGATGTGCTCAACCGCGTCTCTCGCGCTTTGACCGCTCGACGCTCTCTCGCGCTCCGAACGCTTTCGCGTCGCGTCCGCGCTCGGTGACCGCACTTCGAAGCGTGTGTCGACGCAACCGCGTCCGCGCCCGACATGTCCCCCGCCGATGACATCATGGACGAGTTCGCCAGGTTCCAAGCCGAGATGAGCGCCTTGGACGCCGAGGCGACGCCGAAGGAGGACGCCAAGGCGAACGCGAACGCGCCCAAACCCGCGACCTCACCGCGACCGGCGCCCGCGGCGCGTCCGGTGGCGCACGCGCGGGCGACGATCGCGCGCTCGGCCGAGCGCGTGCCCGCGGGGCCGACGGCTCGGGCGGTTCCGCCGCCGCCGCCACCGATGATGATGCGCGCGGCGACGGGCGCCTCGAGCGGCGGCTCGGGCGTGGGTGCGCGGTTCAAGCCCATCGGTAAGTCGCTCGCGCGCGCGGCGGGAGGCGAGAGATGGGAAGATTCGAGCCTGGCGGAATGGCCAGAGAATGATTATCGCATCTTCGTCGGTGACTTGGGGAACGAGTGCACGGACGAAATGCTCGCTCGCGCGTTCGCGAAGTATCCGAGCTTCGCCAAGGCTAAGGTGGTGATGGATAAGCAGAATCCGGGAAAGAATAAAGGATATGGGTTCGTTTCATTCCTAGACGTCGTCGATTACTCGACGGCGATGAAAGAGATGAATGGGAAGTTCATCGGGAATCGACCCGTCAAGCTGAAGAAGTCGCAGTGGGATGAGCGAACAGATGACAAGCGCCAGGCGAAGGGGATGGGTGGGACGAAGAAGTCGGTCCCAATGCACAAGAGAAAGCACATCGCAATCGGGCCTTCGATCAGAAAGTGAACGCGCCCATCATTAGGACAGTAATACAGTTTAGAGGAAAAGTCGTTTTGGGTCGTTATTACTCGTTCTATTTGTTTTTGCAACACACGACTCGTCCATCTCGCGCCGATCAAACCTGCGCGTTCACGTGAATCATTTTCGTCAGTCACTGCTCACGAACGCGAAGGTCGTAGTCGAAAACCGTCGAGCGCATCGGTAAACGTGTTCGTTTCTTCACCGAAGTCAGATGGAACTTGTGCATTTGTTGTTCGGTTGTCGTCTTCTGCGCGCGTGATTTGTCGCCTCGTTCACGCGTTCACACGTACCATGCCCTGTTGCGCCGCGAGCTGTCTGAGATACTCCACCTGCGCTCGCTGATCCGGTGGCAGCATAGCGATTTGCTGCGGCGTCATCGACAGCACCTGTCTCAGCAGCGCCTGCTGCTGATCCATCCCTTGTCCCGGTACCGTCGATGGAGGTGCCATGGGCGCCACTGGAGCCGCCGGTGGCGCTCTCACCGGAGCCATCGGTGGTGGCGGCACATTCACCGCCCGAACCACCGGCGGCGGTGGCGGCGGCGGCACCGTCCGACGCGCCTGCTGCCCCACCAGGTGCGGCGCCATCGGCGGCGCCGTCGCTCCCCCCGCCGGTGGTTTTACCATCCCGAGCACCAACTGCGCCTGAAAAAGCGCCAACGACAACTGTGGGTTATTCACCAACAGCGTCCGCGCCTGCGCCGGATCACTCTCCGTCATCTGCTTCACCTGGGACATGATCTCGTACAGTTGCGTCGGCGTGAGATCCGCGACGCGCTTCGTCAACAGATCCATCGCCGCCCCCGTGGTGGACGTCACCACGCCCTCAAACGCATGTCGCATCCCTTGCTGCGACGCCTTGGCCGCGTTCGTCCCGATCGGGGCGTCCGCGCGCAGGGACACGCTCGCGCTCGGCGCCGCGTGCCCGACGCCGCCATCCCCGTGGATCGCGCTCACCCCCGTCTGCCCGCCCCCGTTCTTCATCGTCTCCGCGTGATCGACCCGCAACTGCCTCCCGTTGTACTCCCGACCGTTCAGATTACGAACCGCCGACATCGCGGTGGCGAAATCGTCGAACTCAACAAAGCCGTAGCCCTTGAGCTTCCCCGTGTCTCGCTCGGTGACCAACCGGAGCTCTCGCACTGGACCGCACTCGCAGAAGATTTCCGTGAGCGACGCCTCGGTGGCGTCGTACGGGACGTTCCCGATGAACACCGTGCCCTCGGGCATGGTGCGACGCGCGCGCGCGGCGATTAATGCGGTGCTTTTGGCGCGTCGCGGTGGAATTCGATTGCATTCGCGCGCTCATGACGTCCGCACACGTCGACGCGAGACCGCGCGGGCGCGCGCGGGCGCGCCGTCGGGTCGTCGCGATGTCCGTCGACGACGCGCCCGGGCGAGGTCGCGACGAACCGCTCGAGGCGAACGGGAAGACGTGGAACACGCGATGGCGAGACGAACGCGACGAAGACGAGGACGATTCCACGCGCGAAGACGGCGCGTGCGTCGCGGTCGCGGACGACCTCGGCGCGGTGGACGCGAACGATGACGTGGATGTGTTCGATGCGAGTGCGGCGACGGCGGCGGAGGATGCGCTGATTGAGGCGAGGCGCAGGCGCCGCGCGGAGATCTTGGCGAAACACGGCGCGCGCGCGGGCGGAGCGCGCGGAGACGCGGGAAAACGCGCGCGCGTGGATACGGTGGAGGAGCACGCGATGAAAAGTGCGAGGGTGACGACGACGACGACGGAGACAAGAGCGAAGGAGACGAGCGAAGGGCCGATGCGGAAGAAGGAGCGGGCGGCGCCGGCGGGCGACATGTTCGGGGAGGACTCTGACGAGGAGGCGTTTTACCTGCGAGACGCCTCGGGCGAGGGTGAGGGTGGGGACGGGGCGAAGGTCACGGGGGGCGCGGTGGACATGTCGAAGGGATTGACGGATAACTGGGACGACGCGGAGGGATACTACTGTGCGCGCATCGGAGAGGTGCTCGACGGACGGTACACGATAACGGCGCATCTGGGCAAGGGCGTCTTTTCTAACGTCTTGAGAGCGGTGGATAAGAGAGAGGGAGAGATGGAGGTGGCGATTAAGGTGATTCGTTGCAATCAGACCATGCACAAGGCGGCGCAGCTGGAGATCGACATATTGCAGAAGCTCAGTGGAAGCGACCCGGAGAACAAGCGGCACTGCGTGCGATTTCTCCGTCACTTTGAATATCGCGAGCATGTCTTCATGGTGTTCGAGTCGCTGTCTATGAACCTCCGGGAGGTCATCAAAAAGTTTGGGCGCAACGTAGGAATCAACATCAGGGCGGTTCAGGCGTACGCAACGCAGCTCTTCATCGCTCTGAGGCATTTGAAGAACTGCGGCGTCGTTCACGCCGATATTAAACCGGATAATATTCTCGTCAACGAGACAAAGAGTGTTCTCAAAGTTTGCGATTTCGGCAGCGCCATGTTCGATGGCGACAACGAGCTTACGCCGTACCTTGTGTCTCGCTTTTATCGTGCCCCCGAGGTGATTCTTGGGTTACCGTACTCGCACCCGATGGATCTGTGGTCCGTGGGATGCTGCTTGTACGAACTCTTCACTGGAAGCATCGCGTTCCCAGGCCGCTCGAACAATCATATGCTTAAACTCATGCTCGAGCTCAAAGGCCCAGTGCCGCAAAAGGTTCTTCGTCGCGCTCTTTTCACAGAGAATCACTACGACCACACGGGCGCATTCGCCGTCATCGAGGAGGATCCAGTGACGAAGAAGAGCATTCGGCGTCTCATTCGTGACGCGAAGCCGACGAAGGATTTGACTAAAATATGTACACGTGATGGCGGCATGAGTGCGGATGAACGTAAAAAAGCACTTCAGCTCGCCGATCTACTGAATCAGATTTTCAACCTTGACTCGGAGAAGCGCATCACCGTCGGCGAAGCGCTTCAGCACCCGTTCGTCGTGGAGCGAATTCCGCCAGCGTCTCGAGCGCGCGTTGGTGATGAGTGAAGAATGCTAAACGTCGATGAAGATGTTGTTGTTGCGCGCAATCTAGCTTATTAATAGCGCGATAGGTACGTGATGAGGAGAGAAATAGTGACAAAAAAGTCTTGTCAAAACAATGGTGTACCACCTCTCAAAGATTTCATGACATTTCTATGGCTCGCACGCGTTCGTTTAGCGTCCTCGTCCCATGCCGCCCATACCACTCCACGCGCCAGCCTTTTTCTTCGGTTCTTCTTTGGGCTTCTCCGGCTCCTTGGGTTTCTCCGGCTCCGGCGCCTTGATGCCCTCCTCCATGGCCTCGTTGAAGTTGAGCATGGCGCTCCCCTTGAAGATCTTGTTGTACCCAAGCGTGACCTTGAAGCCTCCATCCATGGTGTCCGTGACGTCCTTGCGCAATCTATGGCTCAGGCACGGGCCGATGACGCGGCCGATGTCTTCCTCGGTGACTTCGGTACGGCCCTCAAAGGCGACGAGAGCCTTGGCGGCGCGAGTGACGACGATGTCGCCCCGCAAGCCATCGACGTTCACGAGAGCGCATACGCCAGAAATCTTGAGCGCTAGGTCACGATCCATCTTGACCGTCGGCAACAAGGCTCGCGCGGCTTCAATCTTGGCTCTCAGCGCATCCGTCTCCTCCTTGCACTGCTCGGTGTACCCCGCCGGATCGGCTTCGTACGCGATCTTATTCATCACCAACTGGGTACGCTGCTCTTGATCGTAAATCGTTCTGATGTTCACAGCCATTCCGAATCGATCGAGGAGCTGCGGACGAAGCTCGCCCTCCTCCGGATTACCGCTGCCGATCATGATGAACTTGGCCGGGTGCGTGAGGGAGATCCCTTCGCGCTCGACGGTGTTCCAACCGCCCGCGGCTGAGTCGAGGACGACGTCCACGAGCGAGTCATCCAACAGGTTCACCTCGTCAATGTACAGCAAGCCTCTGTTCGCCTTCGCCAACAATCCAGGATCGTACGCCTTCGTACCCTCGCTCAAAGCCTTCTCGATGTCAATCGTCCCGCAGATGCGATCCTCCGTCGTCCCGAGCGGCACCTCCACCATCGGCACCCTGATCTTCGTCGTCTCCAGCGTCTCCCCGCGCCCATATTTCTCTCGCACGTCCGGTCCCATCAACTGCGGATCATCCGGGGACGAGTTAAACGGATCACCCGCCACCACATCAATCTCCGGCAACAGTTGCGTCAACGACCGCACGCTCACGCTCTTCGCCGTCCCGCGGTCGCCCATGATCAACACCCCCCCGATCGCGCTATCCACCACGTTCAGAATCAGCGCCAGCTTCAGCTCTTCCTGTCCAACAATCTTCACGAACGGGAACGACGCCGCCGCCGACTTCGCCCGCGCGACGACGCGCGCCCGTCCGTCGCCCGCGCGCGATCCTTCACCCCGTCTCTTATCCATCCGAATCACGGGCGCGTTCGCCGCTATTGCCCGCGCGCGCGACGCCATCGCCCCCGCTCGACGTCCCGACGACGCGCACCGGTCCCGTGGTCCCGTCGTCGTCCCGCGCGCGCGTCGAGGTGTCGCCGCGCCGTCGACGCGCGCGCGCGCGGGACGACTGTACCCGCGCGGGGACTCGCCTCGTGTGGGCGAACAGTACGCGCGCACGCGATCCCGTGGACCCCGGGGGAACGGGAAGTCTCATTTTCCCTACGTTTTTTAAGAGACCCCGTTTTCCCTACGAAGAGTCTCATTTTCCCTACGACATCGTAGGGGAAATGAGACTTCCCGCGGCGGGTGAGTCTCATTTTCCCTACGCGTGTTGCGTCGACGACGGCAAGGTGAAGAGCGCGTCGTCGACGCTCGCACCGCGACGGAGAGCACTCGAAACATGATGACGCGAACATCATCCACGCGATCGGACGTTGTCGCCGACGATTTCGCCGCGGAGTCGTCGGAACAGTCGAGTCCCCTCGCTGATCTCACGAATGCCATCTCTCAACCGACGAGCTCAAGCCGTCAGTTCGCGTCCGGCGTGTGCGGAAAGCGAAACAGACATGATCTTGCGAACGTGCTGAGGCTCGCCGCAGACGCA